GAGACACTCACTTATTATTTATTTAGAAAGGCTTAAGGGAAGAGTATATTTAAATATTCCAGCCTGCATGATTGTTTTTAATCACTTAGGAAGACTGATCACTTTGTGGTGATGTGGAAGGCTTGAGTAATCTCTCGAAGAGGGAGATTGTTTCATTGTTCTTTCTAACCACAGTTTCTTAGTTTTAATATTCAGGACAATAACAAGCAAGATTTCCGAAGGGAAGAAGCATAGTAGGATAATTTTAGCTTGTTGGTTGGCAGGACTGTCCTGCAAGCCAACACCTTTTAAATCTAAGAGAAAAAGTTTTAATCGGGACATTGACACTGGAAGTCAGAAAATATGTTTTATCTTAGGTTATATCCTCAATGTGTAGATTAATGAAAGAATTTGAAGGCTATAATGATGTAGTATGATGCCATTTGTATTCTGCAGTGAGTCGATGTGACGTGGATATGAGCGAACGAAAGCCTTGTTCTTACTAGCAATGCTGGATATGCAGCAAAGTAAACCGATGAGGGTAAACATGAAAGAACCTGAAGAATTGGAACCCATGAAAAAGATAGACGAGATCAGGAGATTCTCAAACAAGGAGTTGAGACTCACTAAAGAATCTATGGGAGCATTGCCGAAATCCAGTGAATACTGTGGACCGATCAAGAAGAAGTCATATAGCTACGTATCCGGGATTATAGGGATAGCGTACAATCCTTTCCTGAGTGAAGACATACGCGATTGCTTCTTTGATTATGAGCAGGCGGTGTTACTAAGATTCTGGACGTCCAGAATTGTAACGATTAAGAGCGTTAACAATCCACAGGCCAAATTGGGATTGGTTTTGGAAGAAGAGGTGACTGCACCTTCAGTACCAAAATCCGACAAGAGAGTGGAGTTTGGGTTGGGATTCTCAGATGAATTACTGAGAACGAGCTTGATGGCAGTGTGGGAATTGATGAGGCCATCATGGTGTCCTAGTCCCAACGCTGACTCAATATTACGGGCGACACAAGACGTACAGAGGGAACTGAATGCAGACTGTAACCTGCGTGACCTCAACATCATATATAATGTGATGATAACAGCCTCTAAGAGCAACGGAGAAGATAAAGTAGAGTTGCCTGGCTGGGGACCAGAAGACTGGGTCAAACCTGGTAGCTGTCTGGCGGAAATCTGTGGACTGGAGGGTCATGTTTGTGGAGGTCTAGACTGTGTGAAAACCCTGGAGAAACAACACAAGCAATTGACAGTATTGTTTGGAAATGTGGTGATGAAAGCAAGAACGGAGACGGAACTGATAGCAGATTGCCATGGAGGAACCGATGTGAATCTAGTGACTGCACTAGGATTCTACAGCATGTTTGGTTCTTTAGAGTCACTATTGAATCTAGAACAGAAACATGAGATGGTCACGGCCATCAGCGTAGAAGTATTTCCAGGAGTTCTGCAGACTGAGCAGAAATATATAGGAAAATGGAGGGAAGCAATCGAAACAGAGATGAACATCAGACACAGCGAAACTTATTGTAGACCATCAGGAGCACGATATTTGGTGGGTTCAACGTTGGCTCCAATGTGCAAGAGCAGGTATCCTGTACATTTCGTAGCTGTGAACGTGAAGAGTACAAGAACGATTGTGGATCAAGCCTTCTCAGTGCCGAAGTGTGTGAGATTGGCGAGAATGTCTGAAAAGTCTTACGAGTTACTATGTAAGATGTTCTCAGCAATTCCAGAGAGAACCAAAGAAGAGTTGGAGTCAATACTAGGAAAGAAGTTCATGGGATATGTGAGCGGGAACTTCAGTGACTTTGAGAAACAGAAGCAGAGAGGATCAACTGTCACAGATTACAATGCAGTAGATGAGAATGATGAAATCCACAGAGTGATGATGGAAGTGGAACCATTGCTGGAAGCTTCGGGAAAACGTAATTGGAGGAGCATCATGTTGACGCATGACGAGTTTCCTTGCCACTGCTTGCTGCAGACCTGGTGGTATCCCAAGCGCAGTAATCTGATGTTGATCTGGGACTCTGGAGAGCTGCTCTCCATGGATTTACCAGATTCATCACAGCCCGTAACAATAGTGATAGTGGGAGTTATGATGGCGATACGATGGCTGGAAGCTCATGTGAGAGAAAATAATAGACAGGAGGCGCCGACGAGAGAACAATTGCGGAAATTAGATTGTCTAAAAGATTTAGATCTTTTTGAGACAATGTGCAAAGTTCTAAACATTCCGATGGAAGTGAAGAAGATATGGGCGAGAAAACGATTGATGCCATGGTTCAGAGCTAACATGACTGCATGGTTGTACGAGTATGCGAAAAAGCATATATCGAAACACGGCAGGGTGTACAGTGAATATCAGCTGGACATTGGAGCAGGAGCTTTCAAGCGAGCTCTCGTGACTCATCGGAATGCAGTGACCACCGCCGTGAAAAGAATTTCCAGGACGAGTGAGCGTGGTGGAAATGAGAAGGCAGAGATGCTGAAAGAAGATTTGGAGAGAAACGTGACGTTGTGTCTCCACAACAGTTTCTGCAGAAACAGAGAATCCAACGTGGATCCCCTACCTTGATGTAAGCAGAGGGTAGAAGAGCAGAAGTGTTGGAGGACGGCTTCCAACAGCGTCAGGATAGCCAACGACGTGCTACAAGACACGGAAACCGAAAGTGCGGAGTCAGTATCACAGGAGGAAGAAATGGAACATTGATGGATGGTCGAGAAAACAAGAGGCAACAAGAAAGAAAATTAGAAGAATTTAGAAGTTTTAGAACTTCTAAACGACGAAAAAAGAAGAGAACAAAGGAGTGATAAGGAAAAGTTAAAACTCAGAATTGTTTTATGTGTGTGAAAAACTCAAGTGAGAAACCAAGCAACCAAGTTGTAATTGAAAACTGAAACATTTAGTTGAGTTTTGAAATTGTCGCATTTATAAATTTGCATTTTGATTTTAGTTGAAGTGGCTTTAGAGACACTTACTTATTATTTATTTAGAAAGGCTTAAGGGAAGAGTATATTTAAATATTCCAGCCTGCATGATTGTTTTTAATCACTTAGGAAGACTGATCACTTTGTGGTGATGTGGAAGGCTTGAGTAATCTCTCGAAGAGGGAGATTGTTTCATTGTTCTTTCTAACCACAGAGTTTCTTAGTTTTAATATTCAGGACAATAACAAGCAAGATTTCCGAAGGGAAGAAGCATAGTAGGATAATTTTAGCTTGTTGGTTGGCAGGACTGTCCTGCAAGCCAACACCTTTTAAATCTAAGAGAAAAAGTTTTAATCGGGACATTGACACTGGAAGTCAGAAAATATGTTTTATCTTAGGTTATATCCTCAATGTGTAGATTAATGAAAGAATTTGAAGGCTATAATGATGTAGTATGATGCCATTTGTATTCTGCAGTGAGTCGATGTGACGTGGATAAAAGTAATTTCGTGCATTTTGTAAATTCTGTTCGATGACACTGTAACCATTTTATGAACATTGCGCGATTCAATGAGGACATTGACCGGACTGTCCGGGGAGTATGTGACATTCGACCAGAATGTGAAAAATGCAATCTCTGCAGAATTCGGAATTTTAGCAGTAAGCCTTCCGGATTGGTGGTTTTTAAGAACTAAGAGCGTTATTGGAACGTTTGGCCAGACGGTGAGGGCTGGAATATTCTAGTATTTTAAAATTTCAAAAATTCGAATGATGACGTCACATTTCTGAGAAATGCTGAAACGGCCATTTTAACAAAAAACGAGAGAGAAAAAACAACAACATTAGTTGCGCTGACGATAACAACGATAATCGTGATTGAAAAACAGCAGCAGATTGCAGGAATAGCAGAGAACGTTCCGAGTTGCAACTATTGTGCTGCTACAATAGTTGCAAGGCCGTTGCGAGCAACGGTGAAGGGTGAGAAACCAGCCTTCCGGATTAGGAAGAAATCAAGATTAGCGAGCTTGATTCAGTGGATTCAAGAATCCGGAAGGGTTTCGGGAATGAAACTTTTAGCCTGTTATATAAACTTTTAGCTTCCTGTCATGTCCTGACTTGAATTTAATTAATATCTGGATTCACTTTGATAAGGATGAGAAGCTAGGAGTTGGGGGGAAAGGGTTGATCCATCTTCGATGGAGATGATGATTTTTATCTACTGAACAAAAACAATAGTAATATAATAAGTAGTAGCCCTGTTTTTAGGAGTGACCTCGTGGTCTGGGGATACTGAGACCCAGCCATGAGCTCACTATTTGCATGTAATTAAGTTAATTTGAGCGTTCTGGTCGAAGCCGGAGAACAGTAACGTTTTTGTCGACCCGATGTTAGAAAGACCACCGAAAAGTACTGGCTTGGTAGAGACGGTGAAAAGCATGCAAAGCTCTGTTTAGACGCTAGCCAGTCGTCTTAAGACTTAGTTTTGTTATCCGTCGATATGTATCTTCCGGGCGAATGTTACACCACAAACCATAAGGAGACAACCCTTTGATATTAAAGAATTTAGGTTTGGAAAAAAAACAGGTGCTGACCGAATTCGAGTGCAGTCTCTTAGCCGTCTACTAGTACTTTAGGTACGCCAGTAGTTAAATTTCAATTTTCAAGAAATTGAGCATGTTCGGTTGCTGCAGAATTATATGCTGCAGAAATGATTCAGTGATTTTGTTAAGCTAATTGTTAACTAGAAAAAATTCTATAAAGTAACAAATCCGAAAATCATTTTTTAATAATTGTTTGAAAAATTTGATCATTACCCAGGAACAAATAGATACCTTTCTTTAAATTTCAAGAAATTGATCATGTCAGCTTGCACGTGTAATATCAATTGTACGTATTTCATTGAAATTTTACGCAAGTTATTTACGGGAAATAAGTATACTCCACGATTACAAGTCACTTTAAAGGCTGAAAACAAATAAATTTAAAAAGAAAGCATTTATTTGGTTTTTGGCGTGGAAAGTTAAAAACCATCTAATTTCTCAGTATCACTTAGCTATTCATTTGAATTTCAATCAAACACATAATAAACTTATATTCATGAAATATCGTCAACATAATTTTTAAAAACGTTTGTAACATGATCAAATGAATTCAGCTCAACAAACAAAGATTCTGCTTTCCCATAATTCTCCGGTGATAGTGTGATGGGCATATAGGGAACAAAAACTGTTTCACAAGACTCAACATCCGCCTGTTTTTCTAACAATGTTTTCATTCTTTCAAGCTGCAACCCTGACTTCACGAATATCCACTCATTTCTCTCTTCATTGAACTCTACATCCTCCGCTTCTGCGTCCAAGCCAATTTCAAACGCTTTATCTTCGTCGATAGATTCCTCTGAGTTAGTTGTGATACAAGCCATCACTTTGGGTTCAAAAACATCGTCTGGGGATACATCGGAAAGACTCAAACTAGCCTTCTTAAGATTTGCCTTCTCGCAGAACTTCCGCAACTTTCTATTTAACACAATTGCATCTTCTTGTATGGTTGTATACGTTTTCACTACGAAATGAACTCCTAGCGCAGCTGCAGTAATTTTGTAATTTTCCTGCGATACTCTAACTTTTGTTGCATTTTGAATGGCATTCAAAAGCTTGGCTTTACCAAAACCTGCCTCCAGAGAGCGTTCATAGACTCTTTTGAGCTTATGATTCTTTTCGATATCAGAGTTTTTAGTTTCAGCAATAATTGTATTTATTTGATTGATGACAACTTGGAACTCCCTATTTTTCTGGATATCTAATGGTATTTTAATATTCTTAACCTTTGACCATTTGTTATGTCCGGCAAATAAAAGGCTTGACATAGATACACATCTCAGGAGATCACGGTGCACTATCTGTGACCTGACTAAGCATGGAACGAAGTACTGTCCCAACTTTATCATTGAACCTTAAAATATTCAACTTAAAAATTATTCTGTTCAGATTGATTCTACTCCTGGCTTGAATTGTAAGGAAACGGAAATTTCAATGTTCGGATATTGTAAAGATCATAACTTGAGCTGTTTAAACAAAAGCCAAGCCAATAATTAAATATCTTGACAATTATGCAAACCTCTTCTTCTTCCAAGATGCGAAAATCGTAATCTGGGAAAACTAATACTTACTGAGATAAAGGATAGAAACGGGGCAACCCGAAAAATCATAACAAATTATATAAAATGAAAATTGATATGAAATGATTTACAGACGTTAAGACACCGTAAGAGACAATTAAATGGTACTAAACAAAAAATGAAATCTATCCACTTTTCTATCTATAGCTTTCTATCCAAAATTCATCCGCAATTTTCTGAATTTTTCTTCAAAAGCTATCACGGTACCGCCAGTTGGTGGACACGTTTCAGCTGAACCGTACCACCTGTACTATAGAATAGGCATGTAGCCCGAAGCTGTGTCGAGTGGGTTCGATCCCGTGATGGAAAAACCTTTTTAACATCCCAAAAACTCACAGCCATATAAAACTGACAATCTTTAGCTAAACAGAAATTAAAATCGGCATCCGACTGCTTTTTAGATTATGGCTTTAGGGGCCCTCTAAAAACTATTTTCAATCGACCCAGTCAGAAAAATGTTGTGCAAGATTTTGATATATAAAACGATATAATATATTAGATAACATTAGCTATAGGTTTAAAATTATTTTTGTTCAGAATTTGTCTGCGTTCAAGCTCAAGCTCAATTTCCTTCATCTTCATTCGCAACTCAGGAAATTTTTAAAGGGTCCGGCCAGTGTTACATTGTCAGTTTTTGAAGTACAGGGCACAGACGCACTCGTCATCATAATCTGCTTTGACAGCTCTTTACCATCATCAGAGCTGATCACGACTTCCTCCAGTGCCTTCAAATGTTCACAAGCACGCATCCACTACTTTTGATGCTGCAACCTCCTGGGATGGTTTGGCAGCTTCTTCACCTTTGACTTCCTGTTAAAAAAAAAGGAGTTATGCAGGCTCAGGCTCAAAGTTTTCGCCAGATCTTCCTCTAGTATAGTATCCTTTACTTTCGTAATGTCTCAAAATATCTTTCCAGCTCTCTTCCATCCCGTGATTATTCCAGTGCGATGCACAACCAGCAATCTGTTAAAGCCTCCAGTCCCATTTCCGCCAGGATTTGACGGTATTCCTTCTGAGGCTCAATAAGTGATTATTCGCCAAAACGTACAACCAATAGGTGAACGTTGCCCTAAACCACGAGAAAAATTGTATCCCGGCGCTGCAACGTTGTGCCATTCTGCCAGATGACACAGCATAACCTTCCCGCGACAGAAAATTAAGTGACTAAAGGCCTTATGAACAGAAAAGTGTTGCGACGGAGGGTCAGAATGTTCTAGAATTTTTATTTTTAAAATTTCGATTGGAAGAAGAACATTTCTGAGAAATAGAAAAAAGACGGCCATTTTGAATAAAAAAGACGAAAATCAGAACCACGATATAGATTGTGAAGAACAGTTGTATCAGAGACAGAAAATTACGAAGCCTCTTATCGTGGCAATAACACACGATAAGGACCTTAGCGACAGATATTTGTGGAGACGGAGGCTTCAGTGGGGGGAAGAGAAATACCACGGAACCCTCCCGGGACACGAAATATAGGAGATAAGAGTGTTATCTCAAGAAAATCACGGGAGCGGAGGCTTAGTCCCCCAGAGACTGTTATATGTGAAGGGACTGTGAAAACTGACTATAACAGCTGCTGTAATGTCCTAGATCTTAATTAACACCGTTATTATTTAATATTTCAGAGCATGAGTAGATAGAAAAAGGAAAGGGTCAATCCATCTCCAATGGATTTAATATAAAACTGTCACACAAAAACATAATAAAATAGGTTGTTCGAGCCGTGTTTTTAATGACAATCACGTAGTCTGAGGATCCGAGACTCAGCTATGTGGTTGTGTTCGCATGCAAACGAAAGCTGATCAAAAGTCGTTTGACTGATGGCCTAAAAATGGTAACTTTTTACTTTGCCCTAAACAGACCAGAAAATCAACTGGCAAGGTCGAGACGGTGAAAAACGAGTAGAATTAAGGTAACTGACGCCTGCCAGTCGTTGATAGGTACTTTTTCTACGCTCCGTCGCTGTGTGATATTTGGGCGAATGTTACATAGACGTTTTTATGGCGCTCCTGGGTGGGCCTGTTAAAGGCATGAAACCATCATGATCAGCAAGCGTTTCAGCGACGTACCCTCCACTCCGGGCGTAAGCCCGAGTTAGAGGCCTTAATGACCGTTGTTGTACTAGGGGGAAGGTGCGTACCCTCCGTCTAGTGCAATTTAGCTTTTTAACTTAGTTAACACCGAAAATTCCGGGGGCCGGAGGGTTAGGTGGGAAATCTAGAGCCCGCTTGTCCTGAGGTCCCAGGACCAAAAACAATTAAAGAGAAAGCGTAAAACCAAACAAAAATAGTGTATAACCAAGAAAAAGCCAAAAATAATTATTTAAAAACAAAAAAAGTACAAAAAACAGTAAAAAAAATCCAAAAAAGACCAAAAACAGTAAAAAATATAAAGTGACAGTTTATATGTTATTTCCGGACGAGATGTGATCTGACCTTCCTATTTGTTGTTGTTTCAGATTGATTTATATCGTTTCTGATAGAGAGATTGTGTGTTTTGGTGAAGGGTTGGGTACCCTCCCTCGAGTGTAATTTGAGTGTTTAAGCACGTTAATGGTGATTTTGCCGGTGACCGGAGGGTAGAGTGGCAGGCTGATCAACGTGTTCCACACTCAACAGGGACATCAAGGACAACATCCGCAACGACTGTTGGGTATCGTTGAAGCAATTATAGTATCGTTCGGGTACTATTTCCTTAAAACTTAAGTGGTGGGGGGCACGATTGGCGCGGTCCGATTGTACCCTCCATCGATTACAAATTTCCGAGTTAAGGGTCTTAATTCGGATATTTTGGTGCAAAGGAGGGTATAGTACTATTTATTAACGACTGTTTATAGATTATTGTCCTTACTATATATTACTTATCTCCTATTTAGAGATAAGAAACACCCATTTTTTGTCGAAAATTACCAATTTTCGACCAAACTGTAGACCCCCAAATTTTCGGATATCCGAGCTTTTCCGATAGGCAAAAAGCTTTTATATAGAGAGTAGCCACGTAGTTCGATCCCCTTTATTAAAGAAACCGCGTGAGCAAAGATTCAGTGGAAGTTAGAAAAACGAGAATTTTTCGACCAAAATTTTGATAATTTTCTGTATTTTGTCAATCTGTTTTGGGGATCGAGTTTTTGAGTTTTTAGAGTTAGAGCAATAAAATTTTTTGCGTTAGGAGCGTGCTAGCATAACGTGCTCGGTTACTAGAGAAATTTTTGGGTAACCCTCCGAGTAGCTCCGTGGATAGAGCTAACGACTTAAGGTTTGGAAAAGGAAGGAATCGGAGGGTCCAAATTTGATAGTTTTTGGCCAAATTTTTGTTTCTAAACCAATTTTGGTCCGGTTTTTTGCATTATTCCAGTGCCGTACAGGGCTACTACGCTCATTTCAAGTATTTTTAGGCACTTTCGACCGGAATTGCGAAAAAAGTCTTTCAGATCCTATACAGGTGGTGAAAAAGGCCATTTTGACGAACGCGTTTTTGGCGATTTCTCAAAGACTAGTTATCCGATCGGGATAATTTTGGTACCATAAGTCGACGTTTTTGACCACTTTTCCGAATCGCAACCGTTTTTGGGTTGATTATTTCGGAAAAGAAAAATTTTTTAGAATTTGTTGGTTCGGAGGGTCCAAGTAACGGGCAACCCTCCGAGCGGCAGAAAATTTTATCAAAACATCTTTTTATTCAACTGGGAAGGTTGACCGTGTCAGCCAACCTAGTTTTAAGTCAGGTAGACCGCTTTCAGAGGCTTTACTGCGGTGATTTAACCCTTTTTCTTGATTTTGGGGGAACCCTCCGAAGTGACCCTCCGGAGTCAGCTAAACCCTTTAGCAACCCTCCTTAGTGGAAAATTTCCACGAGATCACCCTAAGAAGTTGAAACAGCTCCCCCTAGAACCCTTAGCTTATTTTGACGCTTTTTGAAGCTAGTAGGAGAACCTTCCAAGTGAGATCAGAAAATTTGAAAATTTTGGAGGTACCCTCCGAAGTGACCCTCCGGAGCGTATTAAGCATCTTATTGACCCTCCTTAGTAAATTTAGGGGGACCCTCCGAAGTAACTTGGGTGATTAAGATACCCTCCTAAGTAACTTGAGTGATTGAGGTACCCTCCGAGGTAACCCTCCGGAGTGTCTTAAACCTTCTAGCGACCCTCCTTGTAAGAGACTTGAGTAAACCTTCTGTGGCCATTTGGGAAACGGAAAATATCCATTTAATTAGGATCATATTAGGATATTAGGCGTGCTTATCAGGGTCATAAGAACCCATTCTGACCCGGAAATTCGTGATCAACTTTGGATTCTATATTGGGTGTATTAGAAGTACCCGAACAAGATTTTTTTTTGATTGTGATTTTGGTTGAGTGGTTGCCTTGAGCTACTTAATAGGAAAGTTCGGGCAATCCGGGAACAAATAAAGGAAGACCTCGGTGGGTGTATTAAGCAAATACACACCCACTTGAGAAGAAGAATTGTTCCCTACTCTCGTGCACTTGGAGCAGTCCGAGTGTGGGAGAGCTTTTTCATAGATTTGACGAATTTTCGACCAAGAGGTTGCCTTGAGCTACTTAGTAGGACAGCTCGGGCAATCGCAGGACACCTAAAAGAAGACCTCGGTGGGTGTATTAGGCAGGCACACACCCACTTGAGAAGACTGTGTCCTGGGCTTCGTTCTTTCGGATCGTTCCGATTGGGGGAAGTCTTTTTCTTTAAGACTAAGTTTTATTTGTCTATTTCTGAATCATCACTGCTTTTTATCAAAGATTGTTTAATTTTA